ACCAATGCTCACATCGTGTACCTTATAGGGAGCTCCCCCTGCCCCATGCAGCAGCATTGCCACACAGCTCAGAATAATGATGCAGCGTTACACAGCTCCTGTGTTTTGCAGTACATGTGCTGTGAGCACAGGCTTATGGGAAATCCGGTCATAAAACTACAAACATACCCTTGCTCTGGTGGGGCCCAGTCATTTTGTCCACCCACAGCACGGGGGTTGTTGGCTCTCTCTAGCAGCTGGTACCTCTAGAAGAAAGCAACTTCTGAGACTTCTGGCCGGGCATGGTGGCTTACGTCTGTAATCCCATCAATTTAGGTAATCCCAACATTTTAGGTGGCCAAGGCAGGTGGATCACCTGAGGTCAGGAGTTTTGAAACCAGCCTGGCCAACATGGTAAAACCCATCTCTACCAAAAAAAAAAAAAAGCCGGTGTGGTGCCATGCACCTGTAGTCCCAGCTACTGGGGAGGCTGAGTGGGGAGGATTGCTTGAACTCAGGAGGTAGAGGTTGCAGTGAGGGGAGGCTGCAGTAAGCTGAGATCGTGCCATTACACTCCAGCCTGGGTGACAGAGCAAGATCTTATATTAAAAAAAAGAAAAGAAAGAAAGAAAGGGAGGAAGGAAGGGAGGCAGAGAGAGAGAGAGAAGAAAGGAAGAAACAAAGAAGTAAGCAGATTCTGAGATTCCTTTCAGTGGTAACGTTGAGAGTTGCCTCATAGAGGATTGAGAACAAGTGGGGCGGAGGGCATCAGTAGCTCCCCAGCGGTGAGGGATTCAGATGGCTGGTTGAAGGTAACGCCATCTTTTTTCCATAGTAAACACAGGCCAGGAACTGTAAGGAAGGGTATTCTTTTGCAGGGCAAAGGCTTCACAGCCCTAGCTAGCCCAGGCTGCTATTAGCTGATAGTTTCCTTTTGGATCCTGTGAGGTAGTCACGGCCAGGATGTGGCTGACTGCTCTTCCAGATGGGGAGTCACAGCACCACAGAGGGTGAATGGAGAAGGAAAGAAGGCTGTGTCGGACCCACAGAAGCTGCTGGGACAGCCAGGCTTGCTGCCCTGAGACAAGGCCTCCCTCCTCTTGCTTCTGATGTTGCACTTATAGAGTCAGGAATGTCCTCGAGGTGGGATGGGGGCTACAGACTCTACACTCCACAGGGAACTAGCAGAGGGAACAAGGAAAGGAGTTTCCAGTCATTTATAGCACATCCTTGACGTAGAGGAAGGGGAAGGAGTTTGATTAACACCCTGAGCTAAAAATGGGAATTTTTTTTTAAAAAGGATTATAAAGGTTAGGGTATTTCTTTCCTTCCTTGTTTTTCACATGAGCAGCCACTGAGAACATAACTGGCTTTCGGTCCCCTTTGTAACTGGGGACAGGAGGAAAATGGACAAATGATGAACCTCACAGATAATCCCCAAAGCTCACTCTTATCCATGAGCTTCAACCTCTCCCCTCCACAAATCTGTTCCAGGTCCTGATGAGCTGACATTGCAGACCAGAGCCGTCCTCTCGTGCGAGGTGCAGCAGGGAGGCCAGGGGTGCAGAGGGGTGGAGGGGGCCATGCAGAGGCCTGGAACGAGGCAGGTACACGGCGGTAAAGACTCCCCAGAATGGCAGAGCTGGGCAGGTTAATCCAATCCAGTTGGTTCCTTTACGGAAGGTGAAACCAAAGTTCTCAGAGCTAAGTTAGGGCTATCCGGTTAGTTAGCAAAACCAGGCCCAGAAAACGGTTCACTTCTGCTGTATGGCTCTCTGCACCATATTCCAGCCTCTGGCTTGTGTGTGGGGCACGCTACTCACCCTCAACTGATGTTTCCCGGGACTGTGCCATGCCCCAGGCACTAGGATGAGGCCTCTAGATTAATCTAATACACATAAATGTGGCTCTTCCTGTCATGTAGACAAGGACACCGAGGGTGAGAGAGGCTCTGTAGGTTAGTAAATGACAATTTCCTATGTCATATTTCAGCCTTATCCTGAGTCCCAGGTAACACAGCAAGTCAGATCAAGAGTTAGAGTTCAAATTCACGTCTTAGAATTCCAGGTCCAGTGCTATTTCTACTACCCCAATAAGCCATAGAGCTTTCTGTAATAGTTTCTCTCATTAAATTGTTTTTCATGATGGATTACATTTATTTTAATTGCTTCATTGCATTTTGGGAATACACAAAATACATGCAAGGTTTTTAGAACCAAGAACATTCTATCCTTCTAGCCTCAGTCTGTGTTCTAACATTCAGATTCTACTATTCCCACACCCTCCCAATTTTGACCTTCTCTGTCCCAGAGAGGATGAGTGCTAGCTTGAGAGGTGTTTCAAATGTGAAGTCAGGCATATGAGAATGTGTCTGACTCATCTCTGTTGCTGTTGTCGAATGGTAGGGCTGAAGGGGACCTTAGACAAGAGTATGGTTTAATTCCCTCTCTTTTCAGAGAAGGAAATTGAATCCAGAAAGACATGTTTCTCAAGGCCACAGAGCTGGCCAGTAGCAGAGCTGGGGACTTGAGGTGAACTGACTTGGCTCCACTGTCCCAGGCTGGCTCCATGAATCTGCTGTGACGCCTGCGGCACACACGCTATTGGAACTGCTTCTCCTGGGCTCCCCTCACCTAGAGGCAGGGGTGGGTGCTTCTGAAATAAGCCTTGTAGGGATGAGATTAAAGACTGGACATGTGGAGATCACTTTCTTAAACGGAAACTTTCAAAAAAATGGATCGGTCTTTCTAAGGCCACCTTGGATAGATAGGTTTGGGAAATAACTCCCAGAGCCACTTTCTGTTAAGATGCTCCTTAGACCTGAATGAAAAGATAACAGGGAAGACACTAGTGCAATCTAACCTTTGTCCACGTCTTCCTCCAAATAATTCCAATCCTAAGTCATTCGCAGGATCTGCTGTAGAAAAAAAGATGGCACTCAGGTTCAGAGGAGGGAGGTTCCAGATTTATTTGGTCTAGCTGGGAAACACCCTCCTTTTGTGAAGATTCCAAATAGCTGTTCCAAATGTAATATTTTTGATTAATGGACAAATAAGTAAGTTTAGTACTTTCAGGAGTCAAAGGTTCACATATATATTCCCAATTAAGGACCATTTTACATCATGTTGATACAAACTTATCTTGGAATATGACTGCCGTCCACCCACACACGATACGAGGTCTTAGCAATGTGTGACTGGAATATGAAGCAGCTGAAAAATCCTAGTCACATCCAAAGGGTCCTTACATGATGAGATCTAGCCTGGTACCCATCAGTGACTAGAATACCACTCAACTGCAGACAGGCTAAGAAGGTTCTATCTGATGGCAGGGGACACAGCTGCTGTGGGGCAAAAGATGGGCGGAGACTTCGGTGGTGCAGAGGTGAGGCTGAGAGAGGCAGGACTAGAGTGAAAACAGGAGTCCCTCTCCTCCACCTCTGGTAACTATTGGTGGGGCCTGGAGAGGGGAAGGTGTCCTTCATGCTCCTATGGGTGACATATAGGAATGGATTCCCATTTATAATCTATAAGCACTCTTAGTGACTGCTGGTGAGTGAGAATCAGGGAACAATACCACTGGGAGTTCTGCATTCCAAATAAACCTTGCTGGCTTCCCCTGGCTGTTGCCTAAGCCCAGTAGGATAGGACAGGCCTGTCTTCAGGGGCTGCTCTCAGGGGCTGTTGTTAGCCCAGCGCCTAAATCCAATGCAAGTCATATGGTCATCATGACGCATCAAGCACTCTGGAAAGAACATTCTCTAAATAGCACTGAAGTATGGGGACAAGAACACCAGTGAATTCATGATCATTTATTGTAAATCACTCACAGTTCACACGTTATCAATGGCAAAATAACACTGTTAGACACCTGCTGGATGAAGAACTTCATTGTGACAATTTCCAATTGGCGTCATATCATTTTCTAAAATTTAAAATGTTAACTTTTAAATTCTACATCTTTTCTGAAAATATCTATCTTCAAAGTGCTCCAATACCAACACTATAAGCCCTTTCTTTTGCTCTAACATCTAACACAAAGGGCACGCTGTCCCATTAATTCCACATGCTCTTTACAAAGCAACTACACATACAAAATTTTTTAATCTAGAAGCTACATAATGATCACTTTATATTTTGCTGCAAAATCAATGAAGGCTGCATGCAGGTGAAACATTAGTAGACATGGAATTCTAGAAAACTGTTGGTTCTTAAGATCTGACGGCCTGATGTGGAAAATTAATATGCTTATTTAGCAGAAGTAGCTGAAGTACATGCATCAGTGGCTGGGATCAATTAGAATATAAATTAGGTGTTTAAACATTTAAACAAGAGCTTAATTTGAGCTTCATTTGATGTCTGGCATGTCTGAGTTATACACCTTTAAGATGACAATGGCAAACAGAACAAAATCAAACATCTAAACAGGCATGATTTATACAGTGGGCTGGGCTTAAGGCTCAGAACATGAAACGAGCTGGGCAGTGAACAAATCTCTCTGGAAGCAAAGACAGTAGAGCATTAACAAGCTATAAATATGGCAAAAAAAATATACAAGAGCCATTTCCTGTATTCTCATTTTTTTCAGTTTTTGATTCTCTTAAGCAAACAAAAAAACCACACACACACACAATAATTACAAAACAGACACATTCTTTAGTTACCGCATAGACCCCCCTTCTGTCTTCTACCCTGCCTCTCTGCTCCTTCAGATGGTTGTTCAAAAGCAATGCCAGGTTAATTGGTAGAAAATAAAACAAGTGCTCTCCTGAAGCACACTGAAAGAATATTACATTCCTTCATCCTGTCAGGGTTAGCAACATGTTCAAGCACATGACAATGTATAGTTGACGTATTTTAGCTACAGCGATTAAATCACATGTCCATATTCTAATGTTAAATCGTACTAATCTTGACTTAAAAAGTTTTTTTCGGCCGGGTGTGGTGGCTCACGCCTGTAATCCCAGCACTTGGGAGGACAAGATGGGAGGATTGCCTGAGGTCAGGAGTTTGAGACCAGTCTGGCCAACATGGTGAAAACCCATCTCTACTAAAAATACAAAAAATTAGCCAGGCATGGTGGCATGAGCCTGTAATCCCAGCTACTTGAGAAGCTGAGGCAGGGGAATTGTTTGAACCAGGGAGGTGGAGGTTGCAGTGAGCCAAGAGATCATCCCACTGCACTCCAGCCTGGGCGACACAGGGAGACTATGTTTCAAAAAAAAAAAAAAAAAAAAAAAAAGTTTTTTCATTAATAATTGTATTTCAACATTATTTTATTTTGAGACAAACAAAAAAATTCCCAAACCACATAGTTTCCGTTCCTTCCCCACCCTCTGCCCCCTCCCACGATCCAATGTACAAGAGAACTATTGTAACAAAAGCCATGAACCGAGGTGGCAATGGCAGACTGCGGGACGGCTGCTCCGGGTTCAAGCACTGCCATCTCCAGTCCTGGCCTTCCGGGCCTTGATCATCGGCTTGGTTGCCCGTTTGCGGTCAGTGGCCAGCCCCAGCCAGCACATGAAGTCAATGAACCAGGTGGTTGGGTTAAAATTTAAGCCAAATTCACTCGCAGAGTAGTCAAAGGGAAAGGTGTGATGGTAATTGTGGAAGCCTTCACCTGGAAGACAAAGTGGGCATTGAAATAACTCAATCACAACTTCTTTGCATAGATTTTTTTTAACACCTATTTTTTCAGGGTTTGCTGTTTGCAGAATATGGTGTCAGGCTCTGAAGAGCAAAAGACTTGGTTACTGCCTCCAAAGGCATTGACTTACTTAGCTAAACAAACAATATGAACAGAAAAATAGCAATAAAGTTATCAACATCATTGCAAAATTAATTTTCCTGTGTGAACTGTGACATGATACCATGACTTCAGAGGTATTCTTCTTAAGGTAAATGCTAAATGGCTGGTAACAGATCATTCTGATGTACTATTATTTAAAAAAAATAGTCTCTGTGGGCTGGAGTGATTAAAAATCCTTTTTTGAGGAGCTCAGAAGAGATAAATGAGAATCATTCAAATAGGTAAGTAAATTAAATATCTTTAAATATCCAGAATGTACTTATCTGTTATTCTACCCCTTCCAGTGGCCAGTGGGCAGCTTTTGCTCTCTTAATTTTTTAAAAAGATGTACTCATGGGAGCTCTCATGGCTTCTCTTATTTGATTTTTTAAATTTCTTTTACATGTTTTTTAATTGACAAATAAAATTTGTATATATTATGTACAACATGTGGTTTTGAGAGATGTATACATTTTGGAATAAATTGAGCTAAGTGACGTGCATTCCCTCACATACTTACATTTTTGTGATAAGAACACTTAAAATCTACTCTCAGTGATTTTCAAGAATACAATACATTGTTATTAACTGTAGTCGCTATCACCATGTTTTACAATAGACCTCCTGAACTCATTCCTCTTGTCAAACTGAAAATTTGTACCCTTTGACCAACATCTCTCAACAGCCCCGCCTCTGGTAACCACCATTCTACTCTGCTTCTATGAGTTCAGCTTATTTGGATTCCACATAGAAGTGAGATCATGCAGCGTTTGTCTTTCTGTGCCTGGCTTACTTCACTTAGCATAATGTCCTTCAGGTTCATTCAAGTTGTTACAAATGACAGGACTTTCTTCTTTTTAAAAGCTGAATAGTATTCCATCATGCATATATGATACATTTTCTTATCCATTCCTCTGTTGATTCTATATCTTGACTACTGTGAATAATCCTGTTTAAACATGGGAATGCAGCTATCTATTCAACATCCTGATTTCATTTCCTTTGGATATATACCCAGAAGTAGGATCGCTAGATCATATGGTAGCTCTATTTTTAATTTTTTTGAGGAAGCTCCATACTGTTTTCCATAATGGCTGTACTAATTTACACTCCCACCAATAGTGTGCAAGGGCTCCCTTTCTCCACATCCTCCCCAGCACTTGTTATCTTTTACCCTCTGATAATAGTCATTTAAATAAGTGTGAGGTCATATCTCATTGTGGTTTTAATTTGCATTTCTCTAATGATTAGTTGATTTGATTTTCAAAAACAGCTTTACTGAGATAAAATTCACTCACCATACAATTCACCCTCTTGAAGTATACAATTGAATGGCTTTTGATATATTCACAGTTTTGCATCCATCACCACAACGAATTTACAAGATTTTCATTACTCTCCAAAAAGCCCCACATGCCTGAGCCATCACTCCTCAACCACCTCCCACTCCCTCCCATTCCTGTTTTCTCTCTGTAGATTTGCCTATTTTGGATGTTTCATATAAATAAAATCATACAATGTATAGTCCTTTGTGATTGGCTTCTTTCACTTAAAAATGTTTTTGGGGTTCATTCATGTTGTATCAAGTATCAGATCTGCATTCTCTTTTTACTGCCACACAGTATTTCATTATATGGATGTACAACATTGTACATATCCATTCATCGGTTGATGGACATTTTGAGTTGTTTCCACTCTTAGTTATGAATAATGTTGCTGTGAACATTCATATACAAGTTTCTGTGTGGACATATGTTTTCATTTCTCTTCAGCACAAATGTAGGAGTGGAGTTGCTGGATCATATAGTAACTATTTTTAACGGTTTGAGGAAACTGTCAGACTCTTGCTTCTTAAGTGGCTACTAGTCATCATATAGTTCTCCAGTTGACCACGTTTAAAGGATTTTGCTCTACAGTGAGTACCTCAAGATGGATCCATCTGTGGTCTGCAATTTTCTTTTAAATTTAGGCCATCCCTACCTTGCATATTGTCTCCCCGCCCATCACTTTTAGTGTTTTTCCTGGATTAAAAGGCAGTATGGAAAAGTTTCTTCACCCTATTTTCAGAAATAGGCACTATGATGTATTCCCCACTCCACTGCACAACTGGGTATGGCAAGAGCTTTCCAAGGACCTTGGGGAGGCAAACTGCCTGGGAGTCCAGTGCTGACCTGAAAAGACTTATAACCGACACCCCCTTCCTTAGGGCCGGTGTTGTGGCCACACTGCCTGAGTCTCCTGGCCCATCCATCCCTCCATAGTGACGGTCCATCTTGTCCCCACTTCTGTCTACTCTCGGAATCAACACTAGCCACAGCTCCCCTCATTACAGTCCTTTCAGAAGATGCAGGACGAGAAGCGGGGAAAGCCATAGGAAGGGTCAGGACATGGCTCCTCCTGTTTTCCAAGGCACTTTCTCCCTGCGTATGCAGTTACTCCATGGCTAAATGTGGTGTTCATACCACCTGCTGTTGCTGCCATCAGTGTAAGTTGACAAGAACTTTGATCCCTGGGGTCTGAAAAACAGATGGCCCAAATGAAGTGATGGCAGAATCTCATCACCGAGTGACACGGAGACCATTTCTACTCAATAGTAGAACTTTCCTACTGTTTGATCTCTGTGCTCAAGGCGCAGCTTACCAAGAAGACTGAGTTGCTTCTATAAAGGTAGAGCTAATATTTCTTAATCACCTATCATGTACCAGGTACAGTGCTAAGTGCTTTAACAGGTATTAACTCCTTTTAGCCTCATGCCTCTGAAGTAACTGCTATGATTATCCCTGCTATGATTAAAACAAGGACGTAAATGCACAGAAGGGACAAGTAAGTTGCCTAAGAACACATGGCTAGAAATAAAAGCAACGTCTCGAAGGCTTGTTTCATGTAAGCACTGGTGAGAACAGCCTGTATTGACTCATCTAACCCTCTAATGAGCCTAGGAGGAGATAAGTGCTACTGTTACCCCCACTTTACAGATAGGGACACAAAAGGTAGAAAAGCGGGTGACTTGCCCAGAGAGTAAATGGAGGAACCAGGACCCAACCAAGCTCACTGACTCCAGGGACCTCGCTCTTAACTGCTTTATGGTCCCGTGAGATGCCAAGTCTTATTCCTCCCATGTCTTTGTTTGAAGGCCTTTTTGCTTAAGCTCTGCCAAATGATTGGACAGCTGAGGCTAGAAAGGCCAGTGCAGTTTGAGAGAAAAGTCAACGGCTGCTTCTCCTTTAGAACATTTCCATGGTAATGATTAATAACTACTAGTTATTGATCATCCGCTATGGGCCAGGCACTGTGCTAAGCAGCTTACATGTTCTTATGAAGTAGGTAATGCTATTCCCGTTTCAAGGATAGGAAAGCTGTAAATCAGAGAGATCATAGAAGTTGTCCAAGAATCAGGATCCTAAAGCCAAAGCTCCTTTGGCAGGCCAAGGAAGGCAGATCACTTGAGGTCAGGAGTTCGAGACCGTCCTGGCCAACATGGCGAAACCCCATCTCTACTGAAAAAAAAAAAAATACAAAAATTACCCAGGCATGATGGTGGAGGCCTGTAATCCCAGCTCCTCAGGAGGCTGAGGCAGGAGACTTGCTTGAACCCAGGAAGCAGAGGCTGCAGTGAGCTGAGACTGTGCCACTGCACCTCAAACTGGGCAACAAAGCGAGACTTCATCTTAGAAAAAAAAAGCCTTCAAATAGGAAAGGAGGAAGTCAAATTTGTCTTTATTTGCAGACGACATGATTGTTTATCTGGAAGACCCCATCGTCTCAGCCCAAAGTCTCCTGAAACTGATAAGCAACTTCAGCAAAGTCTCAGGATACAAAATCAATGTGCAAAAATCACATGCATTCCTATACACCAATAACAGACTTAAAGAGAGCCAAATCAAGAATGAACTGCCATTCACAATTGCTACAAAGAGAATAAAATACCTAGGAATACAGCTAACAAGGAACGTAAAGAACCTCTTCAAGGAGAAATAGAAGCCACTGCTCTACGAAATAAGGGAGGACACAAACAGATGAAGAAACATTCCATGTTCATGGCTAGGAAGAATCAATATCATGAAAATGACCATACTGCCCAAAGTAATTTACAGATTCAACACTATCCCCATCAAGCTACCAATGACCTTCTTCACAGAACTGGAAAAAAACACCTTAAACTTCATATGGAACCAAAAGAGAGCCCACATAGCCAAGTCAATTCGAAGCAAAAAGAACAAAGCGGGAGGCATCACACTACCGGACTTCAAACTATACTACAAGGCTACAGTAATCAAAACAGCATGGTACTGGTACCAAAACAGAGATATAGACCAATGGAACAGAACAGAGGCCTTGGAGGCAACACAACATATCTACAACCATCCAATCTTTGACAAACCTGACAAAAACAAGCAATGGGGAAAGGATTCCCTGTTTAATAAATGGTGTTGGGAAAACTGGCTAGCCATGTGCAGAAAGCAGAAAACTGGACCCCTTCCTGACACCTTACACTAAAATTAACTCCAGATGGATTAAAGACTTAAACATAAGACCTAACACCATAAAAACCCTAGAAGAAAATCTAGGCAAAACCATTCAGGACATAGGCGTAGGCAAGGACTTCATGACCAAAACACCAAAAGCATTGGCAACAAAAGCTAAAATAGACAAATGGGACCTAATCAAACTCCACAGCTTCTGCACAGCAAAAGAAACAGTCATTAGAATCGGCAACCAACAGAATGGGAAAAATTTTTTGAAGTTTACCCATCTGACAAAGGGCTGATATCCAGAATCTACAAATAACTAAAGAACTAAAACAGATTTACAAGAAAAAAACAAACAAGCCCATTCAAAAGTGGGCAAAGGATATGAACAGAAACTTTACAAAAGAAGACATACATGAGGCCAACAAACATATGAAGAAATGCTCAATATCACTGGTCATTAGAGAAATGCAAATCAAAAATACATTGAGATACCATCTCACGCCAGTTAGAATGGCGATCATTAAAAAATCTGGCGACCACAGATGCTGCAGAGGATGTGGAGAAATAGGAACACTTTCACACTGTTGGTGGGAGTGTAAATTAGTTCAACCATTGTGGAAGACAGTGTGGCGATACCTCAAGGACCTAGAAATAGAAATTCCATTTGACCCAGCAATCCCATTACTGGCTATATATCCAAAGGATTATAAATCATTCTACTATAAGGACACATGCGCACGAAGTTCACTGCAGCATTGTTTACAATAGCAAAGACCTGGAACCAACCCAAATGCCCATCAATGATAGACTGGACAGGGAAAATGTGGCACATATACACCATGGAATATTATGCAGCCATCAAAAAACGATGAGATCATGTCCTTTGTAGGGACATGGATGAACCTGGAAGCCATCATTCTCAGCAAACTGATACAGGAGCAGAAAATCAAACACCACATGTTCTCACTCACAGGTGGGTGTTGAACAATGAGAACACATGGACACAGGGAGGGGAGCACTACACACTGGGGTCTGTTGGAGGGAAATAGGGGAGGGACAGTGGGGGGTGGGGAGTTGGGGGGGGATGGCATGGGGAGAAATGCCAGATATAGGTGAGGGGGAGGAAGGCAGCAAATCACACTGCCACATGTGTGCCTATGCAACAATCTTGCATGTTCTTCACATGTACCCCAAAACCTAAAATGCAATAAAAAATAAAAATAAATTTAAAGAAAAAAAAAAAAAAGCCAACACTCACGTTCACTGTACTCCAATCCACTGCTTCTCTTTACTGATTCCACAAAACAACTGAGAGGCCAAGAAAACCTGGGCCATCATTCTGCCCACTGGCCCTCAACACCCCTACTCACCAATGGCACCCAGAGTGACGAGCGGGTTCTGCCGAGGGCTGATGTGCTTGTCATAGGGCCGGTTTCCATACATGTGGGCAGCGCTGTTGACCAGCCAGGTGACGTTGAGTGAGATGGTGTAGCGGAGAATCGAGGCTAAGAAGTAGGAATTCCACAGACTCTCTCCCCAGATGTACCAGGGCACCAGCGTGGGGACCACAAAGCACATGAGCACCACGGAGATCTTATAGTACCTGTAGGGCAAGACACCGTATCACCATGACGATCCACTGATGGGAGAGGGGATGGGCTGAACAAGTCGCAGGAAAAGTCAGAAGAAAGCCCAAGGAGGGAACTGTGCTACTCAGCTCCTTCAATGCTTTTTATACACAGAGGCCTGTGGTGTGGGGGTCACAGGACCCATACACCTGCAGGAGTGAGGCAGATAACACAGATCTGACAACTGGGACAGGCGGAATGCTATAGGAAGCGGTAGTCCCTGTGGAATACTTCAGAAGAATTTCAGCATAGTCAACATTGTGCTGGCCAAACCCATGTATCTTAGAGCCACATTTATCCACAAGCCGCCAGTCCGAGAGAGCACCAAGAGATTTTTTCATCAATCAATCTGACATTCAGGTTTTCTCAAATAATTTTGAGAAATTTTTAATTCTTCTTAAATAATTTTAGATACATGATTCTATACTAACTCACCTTGGTAAAAAGGTAGACAGTCTTCCACCTCAAAAAAGTTCTTTGTCCATCAAAGACTACATTCCAAACCAGCAAAAAATAAACAATAAGGATAGAAACAGGTATGGCCACATACAAAGTAATCATTAAAAGGCAAATGACTGGCTGAGCACTGTGGCTCACACCTGTAATCCCAGCACTTTGGGAGGCTGAGGTGGGCGTATCACAAGGTCAGGAATTCGAGACCAGCCTGACCAACATGGTTAAGCCCCATCTCCACTAAAAATACAAAAAAATTATCTGAGCGTGGTGGCATGTGCCTGTAATCCCAGCTACTCAGGAGGCTGAGGCAGGAGAATTAGTTGAACCCAGAAAGCGTAGGTTGTAGTGAGCCAAGATTGCGCCCCTGCACTCTAGCCTGGGCGACAGAGCAAGACTCTGTCTCAGAAAAAAGCAAATCACCCATAGTTTGAGTTCTGGACCTACGTATCCAGCAAGCAAACATTTACTGAGTAACTACTATGTGCCAGCCCCTGAGTGTTACTCATACATGAGGTTAAGTGCTGGCGATTCAAAGACAAGTTAGGTGCAGCCCCTGCCCCAGGGCTTCAACCAAGTGAAGCCACTGCTCACCGCCCTCTTGCCAGGCAGGATTGCCTCTATGCAGGGGCAGGAGAAGGGCTGTAACGTGAAAGTATCTGAAGCTACCTATTTAAAGCGTGTTCCTCCTCGGCCTCCCGCAGCCTAATCAAGTTTCTGGAAGGCCTCTGTTAAGATGCATATGTATGCACTGGGAGTGCTGGCACAGTGTGAGGGCATGAAATTTGATAGGCAGAAGACTCCAACCTGAGTCCAGATCTGATTATGTATGCTGAACATGCCTCTTTTTTCTTTTTTTTCTATTGTATGGTTCTTTCTTTCAAAAAATTTTTATTTTAAGTTCCAGGATACATGTGCAGGATGAGGAGGTTTGTTACATAGGGAAATGTGTGCCATGATGGTTTGCTGCACCTGTCAACCCAACACCTATTTATCCTGATGCTCTCCCCCCCTACCCCACTGACAGGCCCCAGTGTGTGTTATTTCCCTCCCCGTGTCTATGTGTTCTCATTGTTCAGCTCCCACAAAAAAGTAAGAACATGCGGTATTTGGTTTTCTGTTCCTGGGTTAGTTTGCTGAGGATAATGGCTTCCAGCTCATCCATGTCCCTACAAAGGATATAATCTTGTTCCTTTTTATGGCTGCATAGTATTCCACAGTGTATAGAACATGCCTCTTTTTATTCTTTCCCCCTTCTCCTGTGCACAGTTAGATGCCCCGCCCTCTGCCCTGCCCCACCAAAAAAGCAGAGCATGAGGCAAGGGCCTGTGTCTGGGCAGTTTACTTGGGGATGTGAGCTCCATTGTCAGGCATGGATGGGCAAATGGGCTCAAGGAAATGGGGCATAGGGAAGGCCATGACTGCATGCATTACTGCAGTGACCGCTGCTGGGGCAACTGAACTTGGATTTTGATGGGACACAATATGCCTCTGGATTATCCCCTCAGGGAATAAAAGAAGGGACTGTTTTTCCATTGGCTCCAATACCTCCTTGGCATCAAGGGGTGCCACATGGGGTATTAGCTTCCTCACACGTCCAGGTTTGCTTGGGTCAGAACAGCTGAGTGGGCTCTGCAGGCCTCTCAGACAGGAAGTAAGACAAGCTGCACAGCTCAGCAGGGTGCTGTTCCACGGAGCCGGCAGGTGGCTGAAGAAACAGCTGGAGTGAAAAGCTGGGCTGAGATGAGTGGCTCGAGAAGTACCGAGCACAGGTAGAAAAGTAATACCACAGGGTGGTTGTGAGGCTCAAATGCTAATAGCTAAGGTGCACCATGTGCTTACCATGTGCCAGGGCAGCTCTGAGACCTTTACATGTATTGACTCATTTAATTCTAACAAACATTGTCTGAGGAAGGGACTATTATTACCCCATTTTACAGATAGGGAAATTGAGCAACAGAAAGTTTATGTAGCTGTCCCAAAGTCACAAGACTCATAGACAGTGGGACAGAAATTCATATCCAGGCAGAGTCACTTCAGAGACCACCGTGCTACTCTGCCTTGCAATTGAAATAACATACGTCAGTGTGCTTTGCAGACTGCTAGCTGTTCATGTGTCAGCTCCCACCATAATTATTTTTACTGGGCAACATATTAGCCCATCAGCACCCATCTTCCAGTTACTGGGATACAGGATGGTTGCATTTTAATGGAAAGTGGGTGCCTAGGCGGTCACATGCATGGACTGTGTTTGGAGGGGCAATGACCAAAAACTACTAAGGGACTCGTGGCCTTAGAGGTGGCTTTCTAGAGTCATGGGCAGAAGGCTCTTATGGAGTTCTCTCCAGATGATCTGTGAGTAGGGCAGGAAGGCAGCACTGGGCGGAGGGAGAAGGCCACCCACCATGAGTTTCAGTGGATCCGATGGAGCACTCTGGGCCAGATGATCTTAAGACCCGTATGAAATTGAAAGGCATTATCTTCGCATCATCTGGGCACTGGCCTCAGGGAGCCCCTGGGAGGGCAAATGCTTGAGCAAGGCAGCTCTCTGTGGCCAAGGGCAATTTTCAGAAAGAACCACAGCCAAGGCATGGGAGCATCGTCTGAGGAGGACGTCTGTGTGGGGCACACAGGCCCTGCACAGGCTGATGACCTGGGAGCTGGTGGTGAGCATGTGAGAAGGAAGGGGCTACAAAGGGAACATGGAAGAGGCACCCAGAGCCTTGGCTCTGCTACTTCTTGCTTGCACCTTTGAGGAGGAAAGAAAGCAACTGAACATTGGCAACAGAAGCCATCTTGCAACTCCAGCAGCTTCCTCTCCTTCCTCTGCTCTCGGGGTTACAACCCAGGCCTGTCAAGGGAGCCTCTCCCAGTCTGCTCTGAGCCATTGTCCCCACCCCATCTTGCTCCTGAAAGAAGATGGAGAGAAACACATGTGGCCGGCTTGCTCTCTGCTGGGCTCTGGAAACTTCTCTCTCTGAATGTTTGCAGCAGCTTTGGGGTAGACACACTCGCGCAATGAAGGCTCCAGGTGGAGGGAGGTGCTGTGGCCTTCCAGGGACAGGCCGAGGCCCTACTCTGGCTTCTGCTCTCTGGCCCCAGTCCTGTGGAACCGGCCTTCTCTGGTCTAAACACAGCCTGCAGCACCTGGCTTCCACTCAGATCCTGTCCCTACCTCCTCCCTCTGAACTGTTTAAAGAGCCTCCTGCCTGTCTTGGCTCTGGTTCTAGAAGCTCTACTCTGCCAGGTATGTGGGTCCCTGTGGACGGACAGCACTAGCAATGCGGCTCCCCAAGGGTAAGGAGAAAAAGGCCCAGCTTCCCCAACTACAACCACCATGCTCCAGGCAAATTTCCTCTTCCTCAAAAGACATTCCTAAAAAAAAAAAAAAAAATCACTGTCCTCATTCCAATGACGCTGCAGAGACCTACTTCTAGAGTTATTCTCTGATTGTCCTGCCTGTAATCGGCTAGGATTCCTCTTTGTGTTCAGTAGAATGGATGAAAGAAGGGATTTTTAGGGGGCACAGTAAGTCTGGGTAGGATACCAGTGAGATGGGTCTTGACGCTGAAAACGGTCTAAAAATCCTCCCTATCTCAAGCTGACTTAGCAAATGCTTCCTGAGTGGGGAGTGCCCCTTCCTCCTGTGCACTTTTAGCCTCGGGCAGCTGTTCTTCTTTTAATAACAGTTACTGGCCTTTATGCTTCAGAACAAGCGCTGAGACGGCTCCCCAGCTTCCTCATCTAATAACACTCAAACCTGAATGCTCGTGCCAAGGGGCCACACAGCAACTCCACGCAGCCCTCTTGCGCCTATTCCTTCCTCATTTTAGAGACTTCCTTCCTTCAACAGTGATAGGGAGGAGAGCTGGAGAGGAGTCATTGATGCTGCCCTCTTTTTGCTAAATGAATTCTTTTGTTGTTGTTGAAAAGCATCACAGAACATTTAACTACACAACGCCTTCTAGCTGTGTGACCTTGAATGAATTATTTAATTGCACTGAGCCTCAGATTTCTCTTCTGTAAAATGCTGTACTAATAAATGTATTGGGTGCTTGCTACATGCCAGGTACTGCCCTAGAACTGAGATAGAAGGTGAACAAGGCCAGGCGCAGTGGCTCATGCTACTGGGGAGGCCAAGACAGGATAATTGCTTAAACTTGGGAGGTGGAGGTTGCAGTGACCCAAGATATTGCCATTGCGCTCTGGCCTGGGAGAAGAAACTCCATCTCAGAAAAAAAAAAAAAAAAGAAGATGAACAAAACAGACAATCCCCAGCTTTGTGGAGCAGGGGTCTACTGGCAGAGATCTATATATCTGGTATATTCTGGCAGGGAAGACAGACAATGAAAAATATAAATAAGCAAATTGTAGAACACATTAGTGGTAAATACCAGAAAGAAAAAATAAAGTAGAGAAGGAGAATATGATATATTAAGGGCAGGCACTGAAATTTTAAATAGGATGTTTATGGGAGGGCTGCCGACACCATGGTTTTTGACTAAAGACTTGAGAAAGTGAG